CCCACAGAGCGAGGCGACTTCCTGGCGTTGGACCTGGGGGGGACCAACTTCCGCGTGCTGGTGGTGCATGTGGGCCAGGACAGCATCTGCATGGCTAGCGAGATCTACATCATCCCGACCACCATCATGCAGGGCACTGGCGAGGAGGTGAGGCTGAAGACCTGTGGCTGAGGGATGGGGTGAGGGGTGGGAATTGCCTCCCCCCTTGCTGCTCGTGGGCCTGGGAGGGGACTGGGAGACCCCCGTGGTATCACCCCAGCGTGGCCCCTGAGACCCTGGCTGCTCTTCGCAGCTTTTCGACCACATCATCGACTGCATCATAGACTTCCAGCTGAAGCAGGAGCTGATGGAGGAGGTCCTGCCACTCGGCTTCACCTTCTCCTTCCCCTGCCAGCAGCTGGGCCTGGATAAGGTGAGGGGGTGGCTCTGGCCCCGGGGAGATGGGGAGGGGCCCTGGGTAGGAAGCAGCTGCCCAGCCCCAGCTCCTGGCTCTCTTGCAGGCAGTGCTGCTGGCCTGGACCAAAGGCTTCAGCGCCTCGGGCTGCGTGGGGCAGGACGTGGTCCAGCTGCTGCGGCAGGCTGCCCAGCGCAAACAGGTGGGGAAAGACAGGGGGCCCGTTCCCTGTCCCCTGGATGCCACCCTGCACCAGGCGGTGCCAGCCCCAGGAGGTGGCTGGGTGCCACTCTGCCACGTCCCCATCTCCTGTTTGGCAGCACTTTGGGCTGAAGGTGGTGGCTGTGGTCAATGACACAGTGGGAACCATGATGTCCTGTGGCTATGAAGACCCCAAATGTGAAATCGGCCTCATCGTGGGTGAGCAGCAGCTCTGCACCCAGGGGGGGTCTCCCCCCCCCTCACCACCAGCCCACCTGCCCTGGCCATGGGGTGTCAGGCAGCTCTGGCAGAGCTGTGGTGGGCGTGTCACCAGCATGGGGCCCGCAGGGACAGGGACCAATGCCTGCTACATGGAGGAGACGAAGAATGTGGGCACCGTGGAGGGGGAGCAGGGACGCATGTGCATCAACATGGAGTGGGGGGCCTTCGGGGACAACGGCTGCCTGGACGACATCTTCACCAGCTTTGACGTGCTGGTGGATGAGAAAACAATCAAC